GTCATGAGCAGAGTTAGGAGTGATAACGGAACATGGATACGCACACTTTGTGACTCTGTTACACTTGATAGCGGGGATAGCGGAGACCTGCAATGCCAACGTGAGTTGTGAGTACGAATATTAGGAGGGCTGGAGACGGACAATGAAGTTGGGAGAAAGGAGAACCTGGCCTTGACGGGCGACGTACGTCGCTTTTTATCCTCGACGGCATGTCTGGGCTTATGACATAGGCACAGACGATCGGGGAGCTGAGGATCAGGGTGAAGCACGTAAGCAGGACACGCGCTTGAAGAAGCCATGGACTTGTTAGTTGCGGCGGACATGCCCTGGCACGTGGAGGAAAGAGTTGCAACGGGCAGTGCCTTAGCCCATCTCAGATTACACGAGGAGCCATGTCCCACAAGCACTGCTCAATTGATAGGAAGAAACATGGCAAAAAATCGTACGATGCGCTAATTCTGCTAGTCTCGAAGCCAGTTGCCTCGGTAAGGTAAGCAATTGTATCTCTGCACACTATGTCCCGCGAACACTCTCTCCCCGCCTCGCATTCTGCCCTCCCTCAAATCCGGTATGCCACGGCGCCCCTGGGATCGTGCAGAGAGACTGGGTCTCAAGTCTATAATTCTACATGAGGTTGTGCAAATGACAGGTTGCCTCCCTGATTTCGATTGTGAAGGGGGATGTCCCTCGGGCGGTGCACAATTTCTTCTTATTGATAACGGGCCACACTTAAACCGAAGATCGAAAAAGGGCAGTGGGAGGCGGAGATGGGTTGTCACCGCCGTTGCATGGGGCCTAGTCTGACAGCGGTGAATCGGCGGCAGGAATCGACGGCAGAAGAGAAGCACAGATGATTTCCAGTTGTGTCGTAGGTACGCGCGCGGTCCTGGAACAGACACCAGTCCCTGCGCGCGAATTCACTGTCGTAGGTCCTAAAACCTCACCTTGAGACGTTTCGTTTGTAAGCTGCCAGAAATTTGCATGAGCATCACGATTGCGCAAGGAACAAGTACATACAAGGTTTAGAATGTTTTGCAGTAACGTTGCGGCGGAGATACTCTGAACAAGTACCATATGTGGCTGATCACTTCCTCAATCTGTCCTTGCCGAGCTTACCAGCTTGTGATCGTTATTGTGGACGTTGCGGAACTCACTGCAAGCTTCGCAACGTCAATGTAAATTCTCTGGAAGGCGCAGAGTCCCGCAACACGCTCGCAGTGTCAACGTCTACTTTACGGGCGATGCCGATGCGCATTGGATCGGGTATTGTCCCGCAGTACAGCGTCGGGGCGTTCTCGCAATCCCGATCCCACCAGCTTGTGATTGCGTGGACATCGCGGGAGGCACTACGAGCTTAGCAATGTCAATGCAAATTATCCAGAAGACACCGAACCCCGCGATTTACCGGGCCGCCAACTCCCCGCGAACAAGGCCGATGACGAAATTGGTTGTTGATAGATCCACGCGTTAACATCAGCGCTGATACAACGCTCGCGGTATCGACGTGTAGCCTTCGGGCGATGCCGCGGCGTACCAGATGGTCAGGCCCCTAAGTCAAATGCCGAAGACGCAGTTAGCGCATTTGGTCGCAAGTTTGGGGGCAGAATGAGATACTGACGAGTTGGTCATGCAAGTCTCACATTTGGGGCATGGCGGATACCCCAGAGTAACATAGCTATACTCGAGCTCCTGAGCGAAACGCGAGGCGCAAAGCTCGATCCGTAAACGTCGCACGCATTCCTACAACCCGATGTGATATTCAAGGGAAATGCCGCAAAGTAGCACGTCGCCAAGCTCCCGACGAACATCCTACGACAGAAGACGCTCGAGAGGCATCGCACGGAAATGTCCGCTACAAAAAAAAACTGAGCAAGCAGATCAAGAGACATCACAAATGCACGGACCATGATCCGGAGCTTTGCGCTACCGTCAAACTCACTCGAGCATCCAAAGAACATCGGCGACTTCGCCGGTGGGGCAAAGTGACATGCACGATATCTTGCCAATTTGTTTCATGGCAGATATCCCTGACGCAGTATACGAAGCAAGGGAAGGGGCTGGCAGGGAAGTCTGCGGAGCAGACGTACTCCGGAGGTTACCGACTGAGTGCAGCAGTTTATCGGCGCATTCACCACCAAATATTCGTAGAGCTGTGGTTTGTAGTATAAGATCCATGAGTAAACCCAGAACGCAGCCCAGCATACCGCGACACCCCGAGCCTAACTTCGCTGCTCACGACTGAGCATTATGTCCCGCTCGTCAATCTGGAATGAGGAGGAGAGAGAATTTCTCAGCACCTTCGCTACCGAATACTCCAACGCCGGCAGCGATAAGCAGACTTTCTACGGGTATGTATGGGGCCTGTATCTTCGCAAGTTCCCTGTGATGCCTACCGAAGAGGAGAAGGCCGCATGTGGTGGAGACTGGAAGAAGGCGCTTTCGCTCGGTAGTTGTGCTGAACGCCGTGCGCGGCGACTCGCGGTACGATACCTATATGAACTTGACCACTGCAAATACTGATCAGGTGCCATTTCGGTTCATAGCAGTTGGTTTACTGGTACCAGAATAATGGAAAGCGCTTGGCACTCTCAGCAAATCCTGCTCTTGTACCCCCACCGCGCGTTCGGATGCTCGATCTTTCCAACAAGGAGAGGAGAAAGCCACAGGTGAGTGCAATTCAGCATGCGATTGCCGCCGTCTAGTTTCTGACCATTGACACAGCCTTGCCACGCATGGCTACGCCTCTTCTACGACAAGCCCGAGGTGAGGGCCAAGTTTGAGGCAGCCTGGGAGGCCGCGAAGACGGCCGGGTGGTCGAACAAGAAAATGGTATCGTTTCGTAACAAGTGGGCGGGGGACAAGCTTCAAGTGGCTGATGCTGAGACGTTGGCGGCGGTGAACACATACCGTGAGAAAGGATACCTCAAGGACGACGCTCAGCGATACATCGACGTTGACCCAGAGGACGATGATGAGATGGTTCACGCGAAGCAGATTCAAGAGTGAGTACGACATTTCCTGTTGTCCTTCATTCGTCTAACTTCGCTTAGGTACTTGGATAACCTTCCGCATACACTCACACGCGTCGCAGAGAGCCTCCACAAGCAGACGGGATGGTTCTTCAGTATCACTTGCGGAGGGCCCTTACCTCGGGCAAATGGGGATTTAAATACTTTGCAGTGAGTCGGCATAATGATAACTCATCTGCTGCGCGCTGATGTTCTATAGTCATTCTATCGGAAAATGCAAGCAAGGGCTCGAATGGGCATCTTGGAACTCGGATCAAAAAACCAATATCGCCAATTTTCGACAGTTTCTTGACGCATCTTTCAGTGCGTAAATGCAATTCCAGCTTCGTACCGGAACTAATCACAGGCACTAATAGCGAAAGACCAGTGCCTGGCGCTGAGTCTTACACGGAAGGCAACTATGCCATCCACCACCGGGACATCAACCTCGACGCATGTCAACAACGGTGGACCCGCGATTGATCCCTCCTTGATAAGCATGAACGTCTTGAATGAAGTACCAACGCTCGACGGGATCTCTCCTGCGTTTCTTGCCGCCACAGCTGCATCTCTAGCCGAGTACTCTTTGGATGCTGCCCCAGACGTGGCAGCTCCTTCAAAGAAGAAATCCAAGGCGCAAAGGGTCTCCTCAAATCACAAGGCAGCAAAGGCTCGACGCGAAGCAATGCTTCTTTTGTTGGCCGAGGGCTACATTCTCGGTTCGGAGCCCAGTTCACCGTCTGTCGCACCGACTCCTGCGCCGACTGTCGCAGAGCCCCCGCATCCCCCCCCCCGCCGCACTCGCGCCTGCTCCCCCGCCGCCG